CAAGCTTTGATTTGCTCTTGTTTAGAGGGTATAGCCTAGCTTTATATTTTTTATTGTATGTGTGTGTGCTTGCAATGTCCATAGTTATAGTAGCTTCTGAGTTTGTATTTAGTATTAGAGGGCATACACTTGATCAATGTAGGAGTTTTTTAAGCCTTAACATGTGATATTTTTTAATATCCTTTTTCTAAAGAATATACAAAAATATTGTCATTGATGAAATATTTTCTTTTTCTTAATGTAGATGGCAAAAAATCTAGTTCATATATAAGGTTATGTTGAAAGTAGACTTGTGGTAAACCTACAAGAAGATCTAGAATATTATCATTTACTCAATTATCCTATTTCGATATACTCATTTTTAACTTTATGTTTATCTTTTTCTTTTTATAATTAATCAACATAGAATTGAGTTAATTGAATCCTAATGAAGTAACTATTACATTGGATTAGTTTGATGGATGGAGATAAGAAATCATGTAACCTTAAGACTTTCAAATAATATGAATCATGAAATTTAATTTTATATAATTTTTTCATAACTCATTATTAATAGATTTTGTCATATTATATTTGATTTCTAGATGATTTTAATTTGAAAGATGGAGTAAAAGCAAATTCATAGAAATTGATGTTGATGAATGTGGTTTGAGAAGATACAATGAGGATAAAAAATTTTGATAATAGAATGGATATATGTAGTTTATGGTGAAAATTCAAGGAATCAACAACATATATTAATTTCTATGTATGTGGTTTATGGATGTATGTGCTCATTATTTGTTTATTTTTTATTAAATGCTAGTATATGGTTTTTTAATTAATTATAAACTTGTAGAATGTTAAATAATTTATTATTTATCTATTCATAAATTAGTAGTGATGTCCTAATAAATGTTGAGTAATTTATTGATTTGTGTATAAATTATATTTGATTTTAATAGATATTTTAATAAAAAAAATTAATTCGGTCTATTCGATCTAGATCGAGAATGGATCGGAAAAAATCATTTTGAATTAGATTGAATCGAACCTAATAACATCTAGTCCTTGGTGGGAAGGTTAGAAAAGTTGTTGTTCAAATATGGTTCGAATTTACATCAATATATACTCCTAGTAATAAATTTAGTATTAATTTATTTTTGTCCCTTAACATTATATATTACGTGTAAGATTGTTTCAACTTAATTTTTGTTAGGAGCATGAATGTATTATAATAATTAAGGAAATAAACCATTTTGTCAAGTAATATACAAGAGATTTTGGAATTAAGAAAATGAAGTCTAAAACATTGCCACATGAACATGTGAGAAGATAACATGGTTCAACTATGAGATATGATAGACATTCATATATTATAAATGCGAATATCAATATCATGCTGAATTAAAAATATTATGAAATATTTGTAATAAGTGGATAAAGTAAATATCTACATCCATATATTAGTTTTAGGAGTATGTACAGTTTGATTTAAACTGGGATCCGAATTATATGTTTGGTTTAGACCACATTGAATTTGACTCAAAACTATTCAATCTTCAATCCTAAAAATCTGGGATAAAAAATGTTTGTTCAAACCAATTTGAATTCAATCTACTCCTGACTATGTTAAACTATAAGAGAATTAAAAAAAAAAAGTAAAAACCATGTAACACACGTGATGTGCATTATGCAATAAAGACCTTAAAAATTTCACTTTTCCTCCCTTCACTCTGACTTCACTTCAACCAGCTATAGCACCAACACAGCTCTGCCTCTCTCATCTCGACTTTCCTCACAGTAGGTCAATAAACTCTTTAATGAACTTCAAGTTTCCCATTACTTTCGAACAAAGCCAAGGTTGCCTCACCGCACTGTGTCACTGCATGATAATGTGCATAAATGTCACTTTTATTATTTAGATTAAATGAATATTTGAGTCACTTATTGCCTAATTGAGGTGATTTTGCTTATTTTGATGCACGTCTAGAGATAAGATTTAAAATCAGAAAAACAATGCAGCAAAACTAGTTTGTACAAAGATAGCAACGGATACTTGACTAAGCCTTGGGCAAGGCTTACACCTTAGGTGCGACATCGGATGTAAATTTTCCAAAATCTGTCAAACAAAAAAGAAATAAGAAAAAATAGGAAAATAATTAACAAGAAGTCTTTTAAACATGGAAAGAGGCTGAGATCAACAAAGAAAAAAACCCTTAGTTGTCCACAACTTCACCCTTTAAATAGAAGAAGAAAAAGAGAGTCGCGACAACAAGAAAAACACATAGCAGACTTCGTCTTCCTCAACCATATTTTTTGCGATTTCTTCAATTGATTTTAATTAAACTTTCTGGTGCATCAAGCTCAACATGAGTAATTAAACATTATTAATTTTCAATCAAAGATTTAATTGAAGTTAACAGGAATTATTTTCTAATGTATATTGCTTGAATGAGTAAAGAAATATACACACCATGAATTCACCAATCAGGAAAGTCTATGATTGAGCAAACAGAATATTCAAATTAATTACAGCCTAATTTAAGGGATACTAATAATATTCAAATGTGTAGTAAATTATCACAAAATCTTCTGAATGTGCAAGATATAAGGCAATGTATATATGTTCTGATAGGCCCACTCAAGAAGGTGCTCTGGTAGAGACACCAATCTTGAGACATGTCTTGAAGTTGATAACATGAAAGTGGTTTGGTTAACGCATTTACTAACTAATCGACAGATGAAACATGAGACATGTGAAGGGTGTCATTTGGTACTAGTTCCCAAATAAAGTGAGAGTCTAGACCAAGATGCTTCATGCGAGAATATAAAATTTGGTTGAAACATAAATATGTTGCACTAATGTTGTCACAATAAATAGTTGGTGGAGAGTTGACAGAGATGCTAAGTTCATCGAGAAGAGAGCGTACACACTTAAGTTCGGTAGCAGCAGAAGCAATTGCTCTATATTTAGCTTTGGTAGATGAACAGGCAATAAAACATTACTTCTTGGAACTCCAAAAAAATAGGGATAGGGCCAAGGAAGACAACATAAGCCCTCGTAGAGATACGATCACCAGGATCACTAGCCCAATCTACATCATACAAGGCACGAAGGGATAAGGAACTATGCTGTTGCAGTTGAATACCATATGATTTTGTACCATTAAGATACCAATTGAGATGTTTAATTGTGCCCCAGTGTTGAGTTGTGGGGGAATGCATGAATTGAGATAACTTATTAACAGCGAAAACAATATCATGGCGACTTAAAAGGAGGTATTGCAAGCTGCCCATAGTTTGGCAGTAAAGTGTCCCATCAGCAGGTGGAGAGCCATCGGTAAGCTTTAGTGACGAGGAGGTGGCCACTGGCATGGGAATAGGTTTGCAATGTTCCATATTGTTGTTGCGCCCGGACCGAGAAGAAAAAAAAAAAAAAATAGCCACGTCGGCAGCCACGTCAGCAGGCAAGGTCAGCAGTTCCGGGCCAACCGGGACCTGCCACGTGCAAATCACATCGTTCAAAAAAGGG